GGGGGGGGGGGGTCCTAGAAGGGCGCGGGGGGGGGGGGGTGTACTCACAGTCGTGCATGCCGTAGTCGTTAGACCATTGACCTCGCATTCCTACAAAGCCGGGACGGAGCAAGCCGGGTTCTCACCGGACCAGGCTCTCCCATCACCAAGCGCGAAGCGCCGTGAGGTATTCGGCGAGTCGCATGAAGGGTGAGCTGCATCCTGCTAAGGGTGTTCGGCATCTTGTGCTTACTTCCTTGCATACGAATGACAGCTGCGTATGACTTAATTTATTTTCTGGTGCTTTCACTTCCAGAGACAGTTGTAAGCACTGTGTAACTGCCTCGAGGATGCTTGACCATTTTAACACAACGTGGTGCGATCATCCCCCTTGCGCGGAGTGAGGCTTCTCGACCCCGCACAACATGATCTACTCGACCACCATTCATGGTTACCGCAAAAAAAAAACAGAGGTAAAAAAAAAACGGTAACCTGGTTGCCGAGTTCACGAAGTGACTTGGCTTGTTTTACAACGTCGTTGCCAAGCGACGAAAACCCAATCCCGATGGCAAAACACCGGGGGGGGGCGGCTTGTTTTACAACGTCGTTGCCAAGCGACGAAAACCCAACCCCGATGGCAAAACACCGGGGGGCGCGCGCGGGGGAGGGGGGGTTCAGGTGCCGCGTTGCGCACACGCGCGGTTCCTCTTTGAGTACAACGTACTTAGTTTTGCCGCACGTTTAACGCTGCTGTGAACGAGTGAGAGTATCATGTTCCCCGAGAGGACGGAACAGTGGCTGAGAATGCTCGGAATAGGCTGGCAATCAATTCTTCATGTTGAACCACTGCTGGATTCGAGAGCAAAGTTGTGCGTGGCAAACCTGGGAGAACAAAACAGCGTCACTACCAGAACCACCAACAAACCCAACAACCACCAACGACGGCGACAGCAGGCAGCAAGCCCCCCCCCAACACCTCGCACTTGAGATCGAGGTTGACCCGCTTGAGGAGGGAGTCCATGAGCGAGATCATCTGCATGACCAGCTGGTCCTGTCGAAGGTCGTCGCCGCTCTTGAAGATCACCTGCAAGGGAGCCACCGAAAAGAAAAACAAGAGGCCGGGGTTGGCGAAGGACTCCCGACGCCTGATCCACCGCGGTTTGGCTGCTTGTATTGGTTCGGGCTGCGCTACGAAACACCGAAACACTAGGGCCGCGGTTGAGTGGAGTCTACACCATGTTTCTAATTAACATTTCAGGAGATCTAGAACATAAGCCCCAGATACTTATCCCCCACGATGGGTTATCAATGCCCTAACAACTATCGTCCTCAAGCAAACCCACCACCACGAACACCCCCACCCCCCCGAAAAAACTGACTGGCCTTTCGTTCCACCTTACCCTCTCCGCCCATAACTGGAAAAAACTAAACAAAAAAACGCTTTGCTGTACCCTCTCGCTGCCCCTGGTTACGGGCCATTTTACCTTGTACGAAGTCTCCTTGGGCTTGGCCTGGCCCAGCCACGAGGAAGCGGAGGGCGACGGCCGCGGCGGCGGCGGGGGCGGCCCTCCGTCCCGAGCTCCACCCGGGTCAGCACCACGGCCGGCGCCGCCGGCGCCCTGAACCTCTCCGCTAGACGCCGCCGCCGCCACCGCCGCAGCAGCCGCCGCAGCCGTGTCACCGTCCTTACCCTTATCGTGCCGGTTGACTGCCGCCCCAGTTACTGCGGCCGTGCTTCCTGTCGTCCCCGTGTTAGGAACGGCTGTGGTATTGCCGTCGGTCGCGGCGGGTGTGTGAGCGGCCATATCACCGGCGGCGGCGGCGGCGGCAGAGATAGTGTTGCTGTCGCTGCTTGTTGCGTCTCTTTTTACCGTGAACTCGATGACGCAAGGGTAGAGGGCGCTCTTGAAGAGGAAGGCCGTGCTGGGCTCGAGGCCCGTGATCTGGAGTTGAAGGGAAGATAAAGCGCACAGCGAGCGTGGAAGCAGGTCGGCATCCATTCACACACACACGCCCCTTTCGTGTTCTTTCCAGCCCAAACCAGGGATCAGAGCAAAAGCCAGCCAACCATTTCAGGGCGACCAATCGCAGCATTGAAAAAAAAAAAAAAAACACTCCCCCCGCGTGTGCGCACAGGCACATGCACGCCGTGGGACGACAAATCGCAACGAAGAAAGAGAGCGTATGCTACGATAGGTTGGATAAGATACAACGCGCCCTGAACCGATGTTCGTTCATCAAAGCTCGATTGCTCTGTCTGCAAAAGCACCGACGGTGCCGAAAACGGCTGCGTGTGAACCGTCTCATGGAAAGCTTTCTTAAACACGTGGTATCGTTTGATTCTGGCATCCTCGTCGAGTAATCGAGCTTCGAAAAAAATCGGTCCAGGGGGTGTGTTATCTTCAGCAACCCTCGGCAGCTTCCGATTATTTCAACCAGTACCGCCGTGGCCACTCGGGGGGACCTCCACCACCTGACACGCGGGGGCCCCGCTAGACTGGAACGCACCTGCACCGTCGGGTCTAGGGGCATCGGCACGCTCCCCCCTCCACCGCCGCTGGCGGCGCCGAACTCCGCCATCAGCGCCTCCGCTACTCCTCCTGCCACTCCCGCCCCGCCGCCGCCGCCGCCACCGCCGCCGACCTTGGGGCGCCTCGGCACACGGCGGAGGTTCGGCGCCTTGAGCAGCTCCCGCAGCCTCTCGTCCTTGGCCCACACCTTGGCCCACCAGCGGGCGTTCAGGTCGCACGCTTCCTGGTGGGCGCGGGCCACCGCTTGCACGTACTGGTCTTGGGCGAGCAGCATGTCTTCAGCCAGTGAATGTGTTCGTCGTTTTCGTGCAATGTCGTCGGGGGTGGGGGGAGTTCAACATAAAAAGGCATACTATTTGGTCGTGTGTGTTGGTTGACCATTGCACAGGAAACCATGAGAGGAACCAGGGTCAGCATGGGAGGGCAGGGGGGGGGAAGGTCGCCTTCACTTACATAAGGGGACGGTGTGGCCGGTGGGTCAGCATGGGAGGGCAGGGGGGGGGAAGGTCGCCTTCACTTACATAAGGGGACGGTGTGGCCGGTGGGTCAGCATGGGAGGGCAGGGGGGGGGAAGGTCGCCTTCACTTACATAAGGGGACGGTGTGGCCGGTGCGTGGAGGACGTCGGGCGTCTTTGGGAAGATCTACGCTTTCAGTAAAGATATGCATAGGTAAAAAAATTACTCCAGGGTTACCTCGATTCGAGCTATTTCAACGTTGTTCAGGCACCATACATCACCGTTGACGGCGAGGGGGTCCAAGTAACCGACATGAAAGGGGATTGGCGAGAAAGAGGCCAAACCGAGACAACCAGCCGCAGAAGGAACACGGCAAGGGTGCGAGCAATCACCGCTGCCCGCCGCCGCGTCAAGAACAAATTACATCACATGTTCGTAGTGCCTCCCCCATGTTCACTAAAAGCACCGCTGCTTTTGAGCGCACACATACGGCAGCCAAGAATGGCACGACATGCTCTGGCTCTGTCAAAGTCCCAATTCAAAATTGCTGTTGTTGCACAACACCAACAACGACAGCAACAATGACAGCACTATGAACAACGCCAACCTCCAGCAACAACGACAACGACAACAGAAACAAGCATTCAATCCTTCTCGGCGTCTCACCCAGCACTCGCGCGGACTCCGGGGTCCGGCCCATGCTCCTCTGGAACGCCGCCTGCACCGACCGGAAGATGTGCCCGTGGGTCGCGTCCTCGAGCTCCACTCGGAGGTACCAGAAAAAGAAGTTCGCCAGCTTCAGGCTCTTGCAGGCGCGCTCGATTAAGAACTGCGCCAAGGCCGACACGCCCCCCCCCCCCCCCCTTTTCC